CCTCCTGCCTCAGCCTGCTGAGTGCTGAGATTACAGCTGTGCACCACCATGCCCAACTCTTTATATTATTTAAACAAATTTTTTTTTTTTTTGTAGAGATTGAATCTAGGGGCTTTACACTGAGCTACATCTCTAGACTTTTTAAATTTTTTATTTTCTGTTTTGAGACAAGGTTTCATTAAATTGCCCAGTCTTGGCTTGAAGTTGCAATCCTCCTGCCTCAGCCTCCAAGAGTGCCAGAATTATAGGTGTCCACCACCATGCCAAGCACTACCAGGTTTTATATTTGATTCAGAATAAAGATAAATAACAGTATAGAAATAAAAAAATGACAGCAACAGTATAACCAGTCCATATTTATTATGTATAATGAATGCATTAGAGCCTATGAGAGTTACAAAGAAGTGTCAGTTGTAGTCTCTGCCCCCATATTATTCATAATCTAGTTAGGGAAATAAAACAGATTTTAAAGAATGATGCCTTTAATGTCACTATTGATGTACAAGAGGTAGAATGATTTGGACTGTTCACATAGTCCTTTTTTGATAAATGGTCTTTTTTTGAAGAAAAAAAAATAAAAATTAGAACCAGAAATACACATTTTCTACTAGAGACATTATTAATGGATTTTGCAAATTGCAAAAAAACTTTTATGTATAAACAAACTAAATTTCTAAGGAGCCAAAAAAACATGACTTTCTAAATGTTATTCCCCAACTTTTTATACTGCACCCTGGGAAAAAATACTAAAGGAGGTAGATGCAAGGATTCTAGGATTTCCACTGATTCCCAGGCAGAGAATAGCAGGAGAGCTGATACTGTGTTTACTTCCCACCACAAACAGCCGTAAAGTCGGGGCAAAATATCACAACAACAATCTCAGGCACTGCTCATCAACTGAACAGGGTAGACCCCAACACAGGGAGAGACTGAGTCCTGCCCACCCAGGCCTGCTCCCTGGGTGCGGCTCTCTGGGGGGACCCCTTCCCGCGGGGAATAGGAGGTGAGAGCCGCCTCTTATTCGTGGGTCATCAGAGGCCGATCCGATCTTGAATGTCTGTGAAGGAAATCTTTAAGAAGTTAGAGTACACGGCCCAAGTCTGGTTTCTGATCAAAGGCTCTTTATTGGCTCAGCAAAACGATTATATACTGTTATCCCAGGGGGAAGGTTCAGCAAGCTTATTGGACAGTTCAAACAAATCAATCACATGAGTCACTCAAGCATTTAACCATACAGCAATCAGTATTTTACCAAATGTGGGGAGGGGTAAGTGGGAAGGCATACATCAACAGTTAACCCTATGCAATCTTTAACTTAACAATCTCTAGGGGCAAGCAGGACAAGGAAATACCACCGGCCTCCTGCTCCAGATCCCGTGACCCTGTGGTTAGCACAAAGGGCTATTTTTTCTGTAAGATTCCCTGTTTGCCCAGGGGCTAGACCTGCCA